TAAGCCAAAGACAACACACCCTCAGGGCAGCTTCTCTGACTCACACTCCTTCATGAAAAACAAAGGATTTGTTAATTATGAGCACTTGTAGAGTCATTTTGTGAACTGTTCGTCACTTTGTCCACTTGTGGGCAGCAGAAACAAACTCTAAACAGACCGTGAAGGCTGGTGTTCACACTGTTTTGTGTGTTTTTTCAACTAATTTTGAAATAAAATACAAAATGTTGAGTTTAATTTCAGAAGATGAAGCTGATTTTCTTTTTTTTTTCTTTTTTTTTTCTTTTTTTTTTCTTTTTTTTTTCTTTTTTTTTTCTTTTTTTTTTCTTTTTTTTTTCTTTTTTTTTTCTTTTTTTTTTCTTTTTTTTTTCTTTTTTTTTTCTTTTTTTTTTCTTTTTTTTTTCTTTTTTTTTTCTTTTTTTTAGACATCATGAGTCAACCAGAAAACTAACAAATGGAGCCGAAAATATTTTGGATTTCATCACAGATCTGAGGTCAACTGTAGAGTCAGTCAGACAACAACCAGCAGTCAGACAAAAACAGCCTCCTCAGTGTGACACGTAAACCATGGTCACTTCTTAACATTTTATTCCTCTCACTCTAAATCTTCCATGTTGACTAACACGGACAGGCTGAAGCTGGAAACCACTTTATACGTGGTGATAGAAGGTTTTCAGTCTATTTGTTTTTGTTCTCAATCCATTCTAGATTTTAGCTCCTTAACCTGCTGGAATTTAGCAAACTTTGACATGAGCCATATATCTTTGCTTGCTCTTAAACTAGCCTTTTACACAATGTTATTAATCATAAAAAAGAACTTCTAATATTTTGTATCCTTTATTTGTTACAACCACAGTATTTGTCTTTTAGTGAACACCAGGAATCAGAATTCAACCCCAGACCATTACAGAGCCTCACAGAATGTTAACTAAGGGTTTAAAACAGTCGTCAGGTAATACACTATTGAAACTTCTCAGCTAATTACCATTAAAAAAATGTTTTTCATGCATATGAACTATTTATTGTAGTCAACCTGACTCGTCATCTTTTTTAAAGAACCTATATTATATTATATTATTTATGTGGAATTTTGAACACATTATTCATGTAAATGCACTTGCATGTGTTCCCGCCACAGTATCTCCAGTCTGGTCGCACAGACAGAGTGTGGGGTCGAACCTCAGCCGCTGCAGCGTCTCTCTCTCTCTCTGTGCTCCGGCAGAGTCAACACATGTTTAGGAAACTGTGGATTTTTGGTTTGCTCCTTCTTTCAAACAGAGTTGTAAATGCTGTTTGTAGTGGCAGGGGGGGCTGGGGGATAATGGGGGGAGGTCTTTAGAGTAAAACTGGGGTTTGCAGAATGACATCCTCAGATGTGGCTTGTGTTTGATATCACTTTAATGGCCTCATTTTCTACCCATTGTGGAACCAAACATACAGTGAAGGGGGGAATGAGATGCAGTGATTTTCATGAACTTATGTCATTTTTGTTAACTAAGGCTGTAAATATGTTTACATACAGTAAGTGTGCGTGGTTCTGTTCTAAATCAACGTAAACTTAAACTGTAAACTTCATCTGTTCTCTTAAGAAATAAAAGATATCACATGTGCTTCCTGGCATCAGCAGCACCGTATCCTCCAATGTTTTTCTTCCAGGACCTCCAAGGTCCTGCAGGGAGAAACACCCCACTACCACATGAGGGAGTAAGACCCCCAACTAGCCCTGGATGAGAAATGAAGGACGCCTACACGGTCCCACTACACACCCACGCTGCCAACAAACACAACCAGAAACAGCTGAACACCATTAGGACCAACTGGCTGTAAATTCCACTTGTTTCCTCAAACAGAGGGTTAAACAGAAAAAGGTGACTGGTAAAATTCAGACATTGATGCAAATGAGTCTGTGTAGCATACGCTTATCTGACCAAAGTCAGAGTGAATGTTTTTGTCCCCATGTCGTCATCTCTCACTAGACTGTGTCCCTAATTTCAATATGTTTTCGTTGGAATCGACGCAGCTCGGAAGAAACACACGACTGTTGCTTTAACACGCCAAAACTTCCTGCTTCAAATTTGCATTTTTTTCCTCCCCCCTGTCCTGTAGTAAAGCAAACTTTTAAACATTTTACTTTTCAAATAATTTGCAGCAATTACTATTGGTGTTGAAAAACACACGTCTTAGCAGAAGATTAACGAAACAAAATTGTTTGTGATGTAAATAAGGAAAAAAACCTGCCTTTGGTCCAAAGGTTAGTTAAAAGAAAATGACTTTGTTTGTCCTGATTATCTGTTGGAAAATTGTTGTTTTCTCCTTTTCATTTGTCTTTGTCCCCTACAGAATACATTTGCTAATTACAGAGCGGGTTAAGCCTGTCTCCTAACAGTCTTCCCAAACTCACTCAAAGGCCCTTGCTGACTGTGGTCCAATATTTACCCTGGGAGGGGTACCTACAATTTTCATAAATGTTGCAGCCAAGAAGACAAATATACAAACATATTTTTCTATTTTACCTTAAAGTTTTCACTTCAACAGTATATATATTTCTATCATTCATTTAATAAATGAATGAATAATTAATGCTCTGTATTTTGTGCACAATTGACTTTGTGTGTTCCAACCACCGTGTGTTTTCTTGCTGTCATGGTTTCGTTAACAGACGCCTGAACACAAACACGAGCTGCACCTGTCAACACAATTACTTTTAAACACAATTACATTAAGTTGTCGCCAAACTTTGATCTGGTTTCTAAACAAACATGTGTTGACATCACCGAGGAGCTCCACCCACTTTTAATTGGCAGACTGCTTTCCCATAATCCCCTGATACGCCCTGATAAACGGTGCGGGTGAACTAGCAACGCTCTTTACATGTGTGTGTACTGTCGCTAATTAGTTCTTACAAAAAGTCTCAAACCAATGAAAAATGAAAATTCAAGGTTTTTTTTCCAGATTCAAAATGGAAAAATGTTTTTAAAGATTCTTTTTTACTTGTGTATTTAAAGTTTTTATATATCTGTGTCCAACACAGATATATTGTTAAATATACAAACATTTGTTATATTGTAACATTTAAGGGGTCTGAACTAATGTTAAATATACAAATATTCGTTATATTGTAACATTTAAGGGGTCTGAACACAGTTCTGGTTTTGCAAAAAAGTGGCCGTAACTATTTGTATTAAAAGGTCGTCAAAGGTCATTATTGAAAAATGTGAGGGCAACGCTCCAACATTCAGCCCATCAGAGAACCAAGTCCTGGAGGAGGTGATCTGCAGGAGTGGCTCTGCTCCTGCACTGGAGAGGAGACGCAGCTGCCTGTCAGCAAGGAGTGAGTGGGTGTGAGGACAAGAAAAGGGGGAGAAGAGATGGGAGGCCAGATGAACCGTCAGCCATAGGGGGATGCTGGACCGGAGCAGCACATATTTATGAATAAATGATAAAGAATGAATCACACTGTGAGTGAGTGATTCAGAGACGGCTACAATTAAAATCCTGCCATTCCTGTCGGTGACACAGAGTGAGCTTGAGCCACGTTCAGTTACAAACATGGTTGAAATGGCCGTTGGACAACAGCTGCAGGTTTGGGCCACGGCGGATAAATTGCACTGGGACACAGAGGGGGATTGGTGTGTTTTCAAACTGAGTTCAAATTGTTATGTTCTGGCACCGTGTTTCCCATGTGAGCCCAGTCAGACTCTTGGCATGTTTTCTGCACGGTCATAATGTGAAGCACATTTTTCTCCGAGCGGCTGGCATGCACACAGCAGAGCGAGAACTAGGAAACAGCTGATGACGAAGGATTAGGTCTGGACCAGCAGACTGGAGCCCGTCGGGCTGCGCTGTGTCAGTGCAGGGGAGAAGAGCAGGGCTGTAGTACATACCAGCCGACTGACGCACAGGCAGAAAAATCCCCAGCGCTCCGTAGACTAATGAATCTTAACATAAGTCCAGTTGGACGAGGTCGCAGCTTCAAACCCACCTCAGTTCATTGACTCAAACACACTTCCTGCTGTAAGTTAGGGTCTGATGTTGACATGCTAATACCATTGTTGGTGAAAGTATGACATGCATCCACCTCTCCTGCAGCTCACACACCAGGACCAGACAATGTCCAGACCAGAAATATCCACAGAGCTGGAGGAGATCAAAGAGCTGAGGAGCAGTGACGAGGGGCGGCAGGAGCAGAGACCACAGTTTACATTCAAACTGATGCTCACCCCGTGGTGCCGCTCCCGCTATCAGACGGCTCATCTGGGCAGAGCAGTGAGCGGCTGTGCGCTCGTTCCCAAACCAACAACGCCACAGCAGCCCTGCACAGTGAGGAAGTGGGAGGGGGAGCTCTCAGGTGCAAAACATATGGGGCGGACGAGGGCGAACAGACATGCATGCCACATGTGTCTGAGCCGTGACATCACTCACATCACACCAGGCACTAAAACCTCCTCCACTGATGAAGGTTATTGACTTTATAATTATTTTTGTGTTTCGTCCTCGGCCCTGGGATGAGTCCTGTTTACTGTGTTTACCTCAGCAACGTAAACACTCAAGGCTAGAAATTCATGTGTATTTTCACCCAAACCACAGCCATCCACAGATAATGGGAAAAGTGACTCAGGTTTAACAAGAAGTGGCTTGTACCCCAGAGGCTATTGTGTTTGTGTGTTTGTGTGTGTGTGTGTGTGTGTGTGTGTGTACCCTGACAAGTGAATTCCCCGTGTGAGAAGACAAACGTAGTTCAAGTTTGACTATGTAGAGGCTGAAAAGATGTCTGTGTACAGAGAAGCGGGCCATCACGCTGTTGTTTGAACAGGTTGCTCACCCTCTTCTCCCGCATGTGACCACCTCCAAGTATGTGGCTAACAAAGCTGGCGTTACACAGTACCACACAACAAATCAGATGTTGGTGTACTGCTCGTGTTTAACATTCTAATCAGTCTCACATTTGAACTGAACGTTACAGATTTATTTCTGTGTAATGACAGATATAAAAGAGTTCTTACCTTCAGAGGAAACAGAACAGAAGATTCTCCACTCTCTGTCCAAGGAGGCTGCTGTCCAGGAGTTGCTCTCCCTGTGAAATCAGAGGAGCGATGTCCAAGCGCTGGTCTCCACAGGGGCCGCCGCTTCAGATGTACAGATCCCTCAGATGTTCAGAGGCTGAGGTTAATCTCTACTGTCCTGCAGCCGGCCGCAGGAGGTACCGCTCTGACTCCGGCTGTTTGTTTGGGCAAATCACAGAGTTTGCAGGGGTCTCCTCTTTCTCCCCCCGTTCTGGAACTTCTGGAGAAGATCTGCCCACTGCTCCCAAAAAAGTACACGCACACTCCTGCCCTGACAGATTCACACTGAGGGGAGTGTCAGTGGAGCGACCCTGCTGGAGCTTGATGGAGGGTAGGAATGGGAGAGGGAAAAAGAGGGAGGGAACCAGTAGAAGGCAGGAGAGGGAAGTTTCAAAAAGTGTAGGCAGCTGGGAAAGAGAAGAGGCAGAAAAGGAAGAGGACGTCCAAACACGGATCCAGCTCTGCTTGTTGTTTTAAGGTAGCAGCTCATAGGTCCAGGGCTGGAGTGATTTGTTTATGAATAGACTTGTGAGCAACTGGAGGTGAACTGAGACAGTCTCTACTGGCAACAGCAATCTGGACCGCGTCTCACCCCTTCAGAAAACAACAAAAAAGGGGGAGAGAATGGGTGAGCGAGTGAGTGAGAGGTGCAGGGGGAAAAAAACGAAGGAGAAAAGGTCTTGGCAGTGGTTGGCGGTGGGCTGCTTTGAAAACAAACATGAATGTCTCGGTTTCTCAGGAAAATCGCTTCACTTGTGTAATCACAGCGTTCAAGTCCGGGCTGAATTATTATATGCAAAACAGAACCCGGTTCTTTCACACTCTACTTTACCTTGGACTTCTGTAAAATAACACCTGCCTTTGTTTTTCTCTGTCTGCTGCAGCCTTTCACACACGTGCCCCCCCACCCCTCCACCCTCATCTCCAAAACACACACACACATTATGCAAATCGGTCTCTTTCCCCAGATTTGGCTCTTTTCCTAATTCCCTTCTTTCCCAGGATATGAGTGGATGGTTTGAAATTCATAACACAATCCTGCAGTTGTCAAAGGTCGTTCTTTTTCTTGGCACAAACGACGGCGACGGGAACAAGGGCTGGAGTGAAAAAACAACTATTTACTCCTTTAATTGCGGAGGTAAATATAATAGAGAGGCTCAAAGTAATTGCAGAGTAACCAAAGAGCCGAGGGCTCAGCAGCACACACAGGTGTCCCCACCTGTTTATTTTTTTTAATTAACAAGCCCTTGTGCTAAAACTACTCTGAGCTATATAATTTAGTGCAATGTCAATAAATGAATCAGACCAGAGATGATGACAGAATAATACACGATCGCACAGGCAAACAGTGCAACACACACACAAGGTGTCTCCACATCCTGCAGTGAACCGCAGGTCAGACAGGTCACACAAGGTGGACGTTTCATCAACAGTAGAGTGATGGAGATTGGGAACGCAGGGAGGAGGGGGAGAGAGGGGAGTCCACAAGCTGAAGATTGGCAGCCAGCCTTGTTTATTCATATATCCTGACAGAAGTTGTCCACAACTTGACGAACTGGAAGCCCAGAGATTTTCCTGCAACAATAGCCAACGTGTTCAGCCTGTGTGAACAGCTAAGAGGTGGCTTCTCTCTTTTTTAACCGATCCAGAATGTTGCCAAAGCTGGAGTACAAGTAGTGCCATTTGGCTGTGAACTGGTCACAAGGTTTGTTGTGCTGGGCTTTTGGATGGAGTTATCTAACAGGCCCTGATGGAGGCCTCTTAGAGGGAGAGAGTGAGGGGGAGAGAGAGGGGAGGGGGCTGTACAGGCAGGAAGAAGCAGCAGCGGCACTGAGGTTTAACCCAACTCACCTCTGATGGATGAAGATGGATGACGCCACCCAGGGGTTTGATACAGAGTCCAATCCAGTCTGAGTCATTCTGATAAGGCTCGTGTGAGTCGGACAGACGCCTTAAAAAAGCCTGTGGGAAAACAGACAAAAATAACATTGTATTGTGTAAAATAAATGACCATGTTACTGCCATCAGTCCAACCACAGGTGCCAAGAACTTTACCAAAGAGTAAATGATGAGGATTTATTGACAAAAATGTATTAGTCAAATCAATTTTAATATAAGTTTGTAAATTCAGCCTCTTAAATTTCAATATATATATATATATATTACTCTATCACTCACTATATTTACTTTTGATTCACTTATAACTCATCAGAGGAAAACAGACTCCTGAAGACTTGCAGATGCACTAACAACACATCACCAGCAGAGACACAGTGGATAAAAAATGTGTTTTCATTCATGCTAATTCTCGGCTAACTCGTAACTTGTTGTTATTGATATAGTGTGTGTAAGAAAAAACAAGACTGGATTCTTTGCGTTTATCTTATACAGTTGAAGGACATCATATCAAGAGTTAACTATAAAAAAACTGTGAAATTCCCTCAAATGACCACAGTTTTCATACATCTTCTGTAATAACGACAGACTGGATTTCAGCATGTTGAGGTAATTAGAGTTAGACTGTGTCATTTACAACAATCACATTTAAATACATAATTTGCTGTAATATCTCTGAGAGTAAAACCACAAGAGATGATGATGATGATATAAAACACACTTTGGTGCACACACACCATCAAACACACTCAGAAACCGTTGTCACAGAGTGACTTAACATCCTGCAGAGAACCGCAGGTCCAACAGGCCACACAGGGAGGACGGTAATGAACAATAGACTGATGGAGATGTGGAGCTCAGGGGGAGGTGTCCACAAGTTCATGTGGGACCATTACTTTTCTGTGGTTGTAATAGTTCGGCTGCAGCTCCTCCACCAACAGGATAAAAATGTGGAGGATTGTTAAATATAAATAATAAAGAAGGGGAAAAAGCATCGTGTTAGGGCTCTCTGTTTCCCCCTTCCTGTCTTGTCTGCTGGGTGGAGTTAGTGTCATCACTCTCACCTGTGTCTCTGATTAGTCTCACTCGGGTCACCTGGTGCCCTGGGTATATATACCTCCCTCCCTCACTCTGTCTTTGTGGGGTCATTGTTCTGTAGTGGTTGTGAGTGTGCAGGGTTTGTAGTCATTCAAGTTAAGAGGAGCATCCCATGACTTGCTGCAGGCCATGCCTGGTAGTGTAGCGTGTTGCCTTGTCCTGTTTTGGTAATTTGCACTTTGTTACTAAATCACCTGCTGCACCTGAAGAGAGTCTCCCTGGTATCACATTTGGGTCCTGCCAGCTTCCCATGATGTTCGTATGTAACACAATTACTGCAGTAGAGCTTGTTGGTTTTTTTCAAGCAAAGTCCCAAGGTCTAAGGTTTGCAGCAGTGTGCTGATGTGTCCTTGGGAAACACACTTATGGGAAAAAGAACATTTCACCTGTGATGTTTTCCACAATGTCATCTTCTTTTTTTTTCTTTTTTTTTTTTGTAAATGCAGTTTGTATGTACCAATGGTTCCCAAACAGATTTTTTACAGCGCCCCCTTTGGTAGACAGGACCGTTGTTCTTCCACATCTTGGAACTTATGAAAATTTTCTGGTTCTGGTTTCTCTTGATATTCTTTTCACCACTAATAATCCCATTGTCCTTAGCATGTATCCTGTTTTCATCTCTTCCACAGCTGTGCCCTTAACAGGGTCATTTGTCTGATGTTCTAGGTTCATGTCAGGAGTCTGGGCGTCTCTCTTTAGAAAAACCTGTCAGATTAAAAATTGGGTAAAAAGCTCCACAAGCCTTTCATTAGCTTCTCCTGTAGGAACTTGAACATCTGCCCTGCTGATGGATGGGAACAATGTTTACATCTTGCTGTTTAAGCTGAGCCACCACACAGAACCTCCCCTACGTTTTAGTCTACATTTTGATAAATAAAAAAAGATTTACACAGGGGGTTGTTTTGGAAAGAGTAGTGGAAAAGTGCACTAAATTTAAAATGTAGGAAGCTTAATTTAGCTCTGAAAGCCTGCAGACATTTTTAGTACTTACTGAGTGAAATGTTGAGCAGTTTGTACAGTTTGTACCACACATTAATAACCACAGTTAGAACAACAGAGCTATTTTTTAGATGTATATATATATGTCACTTTGTTGCTGCAATGTTCACAACTTAAAAAAAGTGACAGCAAAAGTTCTTATGGATATGAATTGTTTTCTATAGTCTCTTGTTTCTGAATCTTTCTGCCTTAACATATCTCAGCTGAAGTTGTAGATTCAGATGAGCTAATGTTACATCCACCAGGACTGTATGTAAGTGAAGTGGATATGGGTTTCAAAGACATTTAAGTAAATGGTACTAAGGGGATATGATGGGGGGGGGGGGTCTGTTTTTTTTTTGTTTTTTTTGTTTGCTTGTTTGTTGTTGTTTTTTTTTTGCAGTGTTTAACAGGTCAATTCCCAATTCAATATAAATAATTTACAAATGAACACTTTGATTAAATAGAGTGTCAGTCTTTATCGTATTGTTTTTTTAGTTCATTTATATGATCCTTTGTACCGTATCAAACGGTAATTAAATAAAAACATATTCACTTTTCTATCACTCAACATCTTCTGCACCTCTATGGCTACCACACAGATACATTTAGTTTGTCTGTATATAAAGTTTTTTTGTTTGTTTGTTTTGTTTTTTCATACAGTTTAGGGGTGGGGGGCCGTGTTGTCTCTGTTTACCTTGGTTGAGTATTCCATTAGTACTAATCAGTGTCCTGCTGACAGCTTTTACAGCTGGTAATGACTGTTCTAACCAGAATGTTGACATGAATCTTCAATGGCTGGTTAAACTTGATGTAGAACATGCGGTTCGTGTGTATATTTCGAGTTGACTACGTGTGAAATAACTAATGCTAATGCTAATGCTATTTGAAGTGATTATAAACTCATAGAACGCGTCATAGACAGAGGCGTCCGCTCCACTGGACGTTTGCTAGAATGTGAGTTGTTTCTGCCCTCTTGTGGTTATCTTGTGAAGTTTACTACTTAGATAACAAAACAGATTGGCTTTTTAAACTACCGATTTGTTCGGCCACTTTCTGCACATCCTCCGGGTACAAGCTGTGTTGACGACATTGGTCTACAGAAACTAACACGGCCTGAGTAGGGTTCAGAGGCCGATCAAGTTCTTTTTATGGTTAAAAGTATTATTGTTCTCACCGCAGCCCACGCAAGTGACAAGATGTAGCAAAAGATATACTGGTGATCTTTAATTGATATCATTGATATAATCTGTTAGAAAAGTTATTTGAATAAATTAAAATAATCAAAATATGGGTTAGGGTTGTGCAATTAAAATAACTGTTGTTGTTGTTGTTGTTGTTGTTTTTGTTGTTGTTGTGATAATAGTAATAAGAATACTATTTCGGTTTCAGGCATGTGTCATTCAGTTGAAGTCAGTTTTGTCCAAATTAAAAACATATTTCTATTCCTGTGAGTCAAAATGGCACCCTCTGCATATAGGAGTAAGTTGGTCATTTGTCTTGAACAGATGAAATCCTAATGCATTAAATCTTGTAGTTCACTGTCTACACTTCAACACTTCACTGTTGAGCCATAGTTTTACTGCCCAGATTTTCAGAAGCATATTTTCCCCTGGCCAGATTTGGCCCCCGAGCCAGACTTTGTACGTTACTAACGACCTGCCGAGATAATGCAGGTAAGCTCAGGGTCAATGGCCTCGCGTTGCAGGCAGGTGCACAGTGACGTCAGTAAATCTATAAAGGTGTGTAGAGGCACAGCGCAGGTATCCTGGACCTTAGACCAGAGAGAAAACAGAGGCATTCAGGAAAAATCGCAGGAGGTCGAACATGTCCCAGGAGGACTGAAAGATCTACCTGACAGTCTCTCCACCTGTCGGACCACGACACCGGTATGTTCCCCAGCTCACAGCCGGCCAGACACCCGGGTCAGGCTCTGTCCATGAACACTCAGTACCTGCCGACGTATGACTTCACCGGTGGATATCATCACGCCCCGGCAGTCGGTGACCCGTCGGCGGCTGCTGTTTGGAACTCCATCTACGCTCCCCGCGAAGACTATCCCTACAGCTTCCCGGGGTCAAGTCCTAGCACTGGGCAGGTGAGCTTCAGCTCCGTGGACGTGAGCGGCTCGACCCCTGCCACAGCTGCAGGAGGCTCCTTCAGCCCATACAACTTCATCCCTGGACAGGAGGCTTACACCTGCAGGAGGAGAGCAACTGAACCCATCAGACCCGCAGTCCCAGGTGAGCCATTAACCAAGCCTCCACTGAACTTCTGTAATAATAATAATAATAAAAAACATTGATATTTTATTGTTTCTCGATAAATCGTAACATCAGTATATATCACAAACATCACACACTTTTACTGCTCTAAGTGGCCGTTTTTGTTTTCAGTGGTTAAAATTAATTTTAAAATAAAATCAAACTTCAAATTCTCTCCTCACACTAATAAGCAGCACTCACAAATTATTGCAAATAATGATTGGGTCTCTTTTTGGAACAGTGGTCGGTGTTTTAGTTTATTTTTTTCCATTTCATTTTGTGGGTATTGTGCACTCGTGAAAAAATATGCATACGTGCGCACACACACACACACACTCACATACACAAATATATAAAGGTATTGATTTAAAATTGATAATTTTAAATTAATAATTTCAGTCCATATTATTATCATTATTATTGCTACAAATGCATGGTTATGAGTACGTTTTTGTTTTTTTAGTGAAGCTCCAATTTTAGACTTTGGTTTTGCTCTCAGCCTAAACCACTAAATTTACAAAAAGAAGAAAGATCACCACAGTGGAACAAGGCTGTCATAATAATCCAGCCACAAACGGAAAGTTCCCATATTTACTCTCAGACATTCTGCAGCTAATCTTGCATTTATAAATTAAGATGAACTCATGAACTCAGTTTACAGGGACAAACCTTCCAATCAGATGACAGGATGGCAAATTAAATTTATTTTATTTATTCATGAGACTCAATACTTTTTTCTATGTATGTTTTATAAATTATTACATATGGTGCTATGTCAGATTTATTATTGTTGTGTTTTTTTAACATTATGATCAGTGACCTGACCACGGGGTTAATCAATACTGTAACACATGTATATAACAAGCTTATTGTTATATATGCTTATTGGAGACTGCGGTTAGCGGCTCGCAGGACTCATTTGGAACAGAAGTGTAAATGTTATTCTCCTACATGAAACACTGCACTGACGTACTACAGAACCATGTATTTTATTTATTTATTTATTTATTTTTACATTTGTTTTAGCAAAAAAGTCCTAGTCAGCTTTGATTGCATCACGTATCTTTTCAAACTTAAACAAAACCAGTTGAGATCAGAACTAAAAAGGTATCTGGCAAAAGCAAAAATTTAAGAACAACAAAAAAATAATTCTTTTGTAACAAAAAAAAAGTATAAACGTAAAAAGGCATCACATTCTCTGTTAATTTTCAAGCAGTTTGGTTGTTTAAAAAAAAAAAAGAAGTCCTTCATGAGAAACAGGAAGTATTGCACCTGGGCCCCACCGTCTTCACGCTGGTGTATTTTTAGATAAAGCCCAATGTGCAGCCACTTAACAAACTGAACCCTATCGGCTAAATGGGAGGCACAGTCCACAGTTACCGCACACACATTCATCAGGCTTTTTACCTCTCCCTCTGCCAAGACCATGAGAGATGTCGATGCAAAGCTAACAGTGGAGTCTGCAGTGTCGCTCCCCACCCTCTTAGTCCACTGGGTGGGTGCAACAGGTTGACAACCAGGATAGATAACACACGGACACTGCAGGAAGTCTGCAGAAGTCAAAGCTTCTCAGAAGCCGAACTCTTAGGCCTTCTGGATGTTTCCGTGTGTGTGTGTGTGTGTGAATCGATGTGTCATATGATCAATGTTTCAAATCAATATCTCTGACTCACTCTTTCCCTGGGTAACTGTAAGTGCGTGCGTGTGTCTGTGTGTTCGATGTGTTTAAACTCCTATGTAAACACTCACGGTGATAAGTAGAGGCACTGATGCAATGCAACAAGGAGTGGGAGTCTTTACATTGGTTATAGTTAGCATGATTAATAGAGCTGATGGGGTTTTAAGTGGCGCCTGGACTTGAACGTGGCACCAGACGTCCACACATCAATCACCCGTTTACTGTCAGCTCTCACTACGCATGGAATAAATACACACTGTGTTCATTCATCGTTTTTAGTCATTGTTGTGACTAACTCGAGTACTGTGTGCCTGCTGCAGTTGGAAAGACTCGCACGAAGGACAAGTATAGAGTGGTGTACACCGATCACCAACGTCAGGAGCTGGAGAAGGAGTTTCAGTACAACCGCTACATCTCCATGAGGAGGAAAAGTGAGCTGTCGATGTCGCTGAACCTCTCTGAGAGACAGGTGAGAGAACTGGACTGAGGCTAGTTGGGGACAGATGGGTCAGTGTCTAAGTGTACAGAAGGTGTCGTTGACCTACTTAATAACAGCACCAACAACAGGCTGCAGAAATCCATCTCTGAAGCTAGAGAGAGTTTCTTCCGTGTGTGTGTGTGTGCGGTTGCAGAGTTTAACACCTTATTGTTGTTGAGATTCTAATAATATAAGCGTAAGATGTTCACAGCTCGTGTTTTTACGTGATCAGTTTATTCAGAAAATAACAGCGAAGATCGGTACCAGAACATTTCTCATCTCGAGAACATTCTCCGGTTGAGAAATGTTTACCTTGTGTTCTCTGGCATAAACCATGGGCTGTATAATCAACACAATGCCATCACCACATGGAAATGCCAGTATCTTTCTCGCATACTATTGAAATTTGGGCCGTATGAGCAAATATTAGGAGCTTGGCAAAGTTGAAATCAATGATGCTGGCATTTAGCCGTTAGCTTGAGCTAACTGAGAATAGATGGAAAAGAGACACAATTTTAAGAGGACAGGAAGCATCGTTTTGCTGAAGAAAGCCAGAATGATTTATAGTAAGGCCTCCACCACTCCTGAGATGTCACATGATACACAATAAGGAAGCAAGACATCTAATAAAAGGTGTTTGAACATCCTGGAAGTGAGCAGCAAGTCCAAGGGTGAATATCATTTCTACTATCTGTCATCTTGAGAGAGAGTTTTTTTTTTTTTAAACCTTCTCCCTTCCAAGTTTCATTTTCAATTTATTTATATTGTTCTCACATAAAAGAGGAACAAAGATATACATATATATATTTCAAATATAACTCTGGGCCCCTTTCACGTTTTCTACTTTTACTTTTCCCGAATGTCTTCCGACAGAGACATGTTGATAAGAAAATCGTTGCTTATTGGGCGGAAGGTGTTATGTTTTTCACTGATGTGACTGCATTGAGTGCATTTTTAGCTGTTAAAAACTTTCCATGGTTGCCGACAAACATAAAGCCTCAGTGAAAGACTTAATGAACCACAGACCACACACAAACACACACACACACACACACTTCTAAATGATCTTTCATGTGAGTGAGCAGATAAGAACTCTAGGTTACTGGACTTTATCCAAATGGCCAGAAACTACAGATTTGATCAAAAACTGTATATTTAATTATTCAAGCATGTGTCATGTTGAAAATGTGTCATTATTCAATCTGAATAATTCTAGGTTATATATACATATATATCATAAAGCATAATAATGGCTGCAGCAGATACAGTGTCATGTCAAGCTACGGAAAAAAAGAATTGGTCAGTGTGTGTGTGTGTGTGTGTGTGTACATTGAAGCTTCATGATCAGTGTCTTATCTGTTGTTGGGTGTAATGAGTAACCGAAGCTGCAGAGTGACAGTTAGAGCTCAAATACACTGTGCTATGGTGCCTAGGTGAAGTTCATCTTCAGCTGTCTTCTTTCATTCTGTCATGTACCGCACGGGCCCTTGACTTAGCAGCACGTGTGTGTGTAAACTCTTCTTCAAATTCTAAAGAAGATTGTTGTTTTAAAATTAATTAAAATTTTCACAGTATTTTTTTTCATAAAGAACGATGAAACTGTTAAGAAAAAACATTGGCCACAGATGAGGAAGTCTCTCACGAAAAAACAAAGATCAAGCGTTTGCTGGTTCAGTCTCCCTGCACGTCGTGCATTTCCTCCATAAAACTTAAATCAAATTAAAATCATAAATTTACATAATGCATTAATAACTAATAACTTGCATGTAAAATAATGAAAGTACGTTTGGAAAACTGAAGTCGTGAGAAAGATCTTCCCAGCACAGCTCACGACGTTGTGATCGACTGTACATTTTTTTTTTTTTTTTTTTTTTTTTACCTGTTTCAGGTAAAGATCTGGTTCCAGAACAGACGTGCCAAAGAGAGGAAAATTAACAAAAAAAAGCTGCAGCACCCCCAGCAGGCTTCCACCACCACACCCACCCCACCTGCCCTGGGTGGACCCACTGACATCCACATCACCACCAGCCCCAGCAGTAACATTCTCTCTGATTCCATATCAGGGGAGTACTGAGCTGATTTCCAATGAGGGACTGACAAAGTAATTGTGTGTACATAAATTGTTGTTTTGTTTTTATTTTTTTGTTCTTTTTTTCACAGAATGATCGATGATTCACATCAGCACACATTTCCAGATAATGCACATTCTGTCTATGCCCATCCTATCATTTTCTCTGATCCTTCAACAGTAGGTTTTTTACAGCCTCACTCTGTCAACTTATCATTCATTTATATTCTGTGTTTTAAGAAGTGAATTTATTTAATGTTTATAGGCCGTGACTTAAGTTGGGAATTAAGTTGTGTCTTTCTCTACATGAATGCAAGACGTGAGAACTGACACAGGGGTTTTTGTTCCTGTTTCTTTTTTTTCCTCTTCAAAACCACTTGAGGAAACTAGTAGCAGTTAGAACTGTAACTTTTAAAATGTATGTTTTTTTTTATGCTTATATTAGAAAATGGAACCCAGAAATGATGGGAAATAATAGAGAATATAGTGTTTTGTGTTTACTAAAAAAAAAAGAAAGAAAAGAAAGTTAACATTTGTGTCCATGACATTTAAAACAGCAGAAAAAATGACAAATGTAGTTCGAAGGGAACATGTGCAAAATTTACTTTGTCAGGATTTTATGACATGGTCTGTATCTTTAGTCTGTAGTACCAGTTTTGGCTACAACATAGGTGTTTTATAATCTGCCAAAATTTCAGAAATGTGTCTCAAAACGAGCCGTCCTGAAGTCAAAGTAGTACTTTTTTGTACTTTAACTGCTATAAAACATCCGGGTTCAATCTTGGCTTTCCACATCCTTCTGGATTTTCCACTTGTTCTGGGTTTGACTCTGGCTTAAACATTTATTCATCTGCTGTCCTGCCACGATGGCCCAGACCAGTGTTTCCAAAACGTTTTTTTCTGGGGACCCATATTTTAAAAGTAAACCTTCACGACCCAAGTCAATAGACATGATTCGTAAACTCATGGTAAACATGATGCAAGACGACCCCAAAAAAAAAAAAAAAAAAAAATCATTGGGAATTTTTGGCCTAGACTACCTTAGTGGCATAATCGTGGTGATTTACTGGCAACCTTTCACTCACTGCTCAACTGTTATCATGGTGACATGACACTATCCTCTCACAGAAGAGGTGGGCGGAACATTTAAAGGTAAAGGCACAGGAACGGCCGCTCAGAACAGGGCTGTACTCAGTTCTTTGTTGTTGTTGCTGTTGTTTTTCAACCAAATTATGTTACAAACATCTTTCTTCTGGACAGACACTAATTTGCAGCAAAGTAGCATAAAAGGTCGGCCTTAACAATGGATCATTTTGAATGTAAATCTGATGAGGTTCAGTCTCGAGGAAGAAGGCAGCTATTGTAACGTGTGTGTGATGAGGTAGAGTTTCTCAGGAGAACGCAACAGTTGTTTAATACATGTAAAATTCAAATGAAAAACTTTTTTTTTGCTGCCGTGTTGCACACAAACACTAAACTGTGCAGAGGAAATAAGGCAGTAAAAAGAAGGTTGTTGTTGTTTTTTTTTAGAGTTTAGTCACAGACCTTGCTTTAAATAGTTGCACAAAGTGAACCGCAGTCTGCAGTCATTCAGCTCTGTCATGGTGGTGGAGAAATACTTGTGATAAAAGACGATAAGTGATAAAAAAAAAGGCTCAGTGTTTTTGTATTTTTAAAGTAGTTTAGAGGAAAATGAATTGCCACACATTCATATATGTAGCTTGACATGTAAAACTGCTTGAGCACAATCCATTTGTGGATTAGATTGTTTTAGATCGACAAAGCATCAATCATCCAAGCATTGGAAAAGCTTTTTGTTTCTCTTTAATAAAACCAATTTACCACAAAGTTTGTGAGGACATAGCTTGGCTTGTGTTTTTTTTTTTGTTTTTTTTTTTTTTTTTTTTTTTTTGTGGGGGGGGGGGGGCGGCGGCACAATTATATAAATAATAAAATACATTAAAAAAAGAAGAAAAGTTACTACTGCATATTTGTATGAAATATTGACACAGCTCTTGTTATGCAGTGTCTACGGTGAAACAACTGTATTTAAAGAACATGTTGCACTCTTCAGTAGGACTAAACTGTTTGATTTATGTACAGTAACAAAATATAAGACTGACTGTTTTGGGCCAAGCATCGGGCACGAGGGCCAACCCAGACACGACCTCATGGTGGCCCGGGGCGCTGGCCATTTAAGAAACGTGGAGAGAAGCTGAGAGAATTACAGTTGAAGAGTAAAGAGTAATTTCTGGAAGTAAATTCTGAAACCAGAAAAGTAAATGAATACAAAATTGTTGACTTAACTTGACTTAACTCCATGCTCCAAATCTACAGTATGTGTTTATTTGCGTTGATTGTGTTCGGGGACCTGAAAATTTAAATGGTTTTTCCTTTCCTTCATTTTTGGATATTTTAGTTACAGTTTAGAATGTGGGCCACATTAAGAAAATGTCCTTTTTGTCTGGGCCTGAGAAAAAGTCACATGTCATCTGGTTGTCCTTTATAAATGCTGAGTACTGCAAGAAATAGATCTTTGAAAATAAAAGTACAACTAGAGGTATTAACATCATCAGAACTCTCAGTAACAACAAACGGCTTTCATTTTGTGTCATTTTGTTTGCATAATTTTCGTATGAGACCAGTGTGATTTTTATGATGCTAAACATCATGAGTTCAGGGTTTTACTGTGTCATGTGTCAAATTAAAAGGTTAACAAGTCACAGCGGGATTATTACCTATTGTTGTTTTTCTGTTGTGAATTATTTGCTCACTTTGCCAGTTGTAGAGTTGAATGTGTCTGAGTGAGCACATTCAGAGCTCAGGTGGTTGTTTGAGGACACATGGACTATCACATGTCATAAACACACATTTTATGATGCTGAATTACAGTCAGCCTTTGACCTTAAACTATCAAATCAAAATTTGTAACCTGCTTCGATCACGAAACAATTCCAAACGACAGAGCGTTGGCGCTCAGGCCCACTTACCGACTGGACGTGCATTTTTCTAAATAGACACAAATCGTTCGAAGGAGAAGTTGGCAAGTGTTGCAAGATCTTCTAAACAAGAAGTACTATCCACAGAGAGGAACTCTGTGATAACTGCAATTCTGAAATTCACCAAACAAATGTAATCACTAGGCCAGTTATCGCTGTTGCATGCGTTGTTGGGAAAGGACTGCGAGAGTGCATCATAGACCAAATATTTCGTGAGAGAGCCCAGAAGTCAAACCAGGATAATTAAAATATTCACATTTATCTTACATCCATTTACAGCTTTCACACATTTACACTGCCGTGCCAGCATGCTGTTGCCTTTATCCACACCAGAAGAATGTTCATTTTGCACATGTTAACCATCTAAAAAGGGCCTTTTGGCAGGAAATGGAATCTGTCCTTTCAGTCCTGACTCATGATCATCAACAGCACGCCGGGTACAAAGTTTTGTTTGTCACATGATAAAGCAATAAAACCTGTGAATTTGGCACGGCCGAGGTGGGAAGTGTGGCTTACAGAAATGGTATTTTTACCTTCTGCTAATACATAAATTGTTATAAAACACTATTATTAAACACTGTTCTTAAACACCAGGGTGAAACCCAAGGATTGAAAAGTTTCATAAATACTGTACATAAATTCAACGTAGTTGTTGTCTCGGCTTCGTCACCACACTGGAATATATACATTCATCTTGAACTGGATTTGCTGTTTGCCTTGGTTTTTCCTTGAAAAAGATTTGTCCGTACTCCACCGTGTCCTCCGCCGCCGTCTTCTCCTGCCTCCTCTGAACTTTGTTAACATTAGCGTAGGTCAACTCCTGATCAACTCCATCTACGGAGAAGCGAGAACAAGACACGATGTCTCAACAGTGACAGTGACGTTAATTAGAGAAGTGATTCCCAACCTGCGCCGTGGCACACCAGTGTGTCGGGAGAGATCATTAGATCTGCCCCAAAAAATTACCCAATTTCACTTAATCGGTCTAAAAAATATTATTTATATATTGCAAATATTGTTTCTTTGTCAACGTCTTTCTTCATTTTTTTCAATTCCTGTATATTTAAAACAGAAAATTATTATGTTTCATAACATATACTTTTTGGTGAGATTTTTGTTTGGTGGTGTGCCGTGGGGTTTTTCTAATGAGAAATATGTGCCGCAGCACAAAAACAGTGGGAAATAGTGAAATAGATCTTGGCTTGTGACTCATCTTTCTGTGAAAATACGTCAAAATTGTCTGACCTTTCGTTATTTGACACGACAGCAGTGACTGTCATGAAACCATTGTGACACATCTCTGAGTTCAAACTGACCTAGATGGACCAGCTCTCACTCTATTTTTATTTATATTAATGTTTCATGAGTGAAAAAGCTGGAAATAGACCATTTAGACGGTTGTAGGAGACTGGGGTAAATTCCAGCGTCAGTGAGTCAATGATGGTTTTCTTTTAGAATACAGTCCATTACTCTGGAAATTCATCTTCTGCATTTTAAAGTGAGTGAACAACCACTGCAGCTGCGGACTGAATTTTGTTGTAATGCATCCGGGGAGCAGAGAAGTTCTTCTTTAGTGGTTGCTCAACCCACAAGAACTGTGTTTTAAACCTCCTCCCATTACAAGCTTAACCCTTTAATCAGTCACAAAAGTTATATTCTGCCACTAAGACGATAAGTTTAATCACTAACTTAATCCCTTTATTTTGTTATTTTCCTGCAGGACAAATTGAGGACACATTCTGAAAAATTACAGAACTTTGGCTTTACAGACATACAGTACATGTCCTTCACTGGCCGGCCTGCAGTTCACTATGGTTTAAAAATACAGTAATTTTATTAGACATCATTACTCTTTACATTCACTTCACCAACAACTAGAACACTTCTTGTCCAGTTCTAGGAATTCTAATTGGGACCATCGTGCAACAATCATTTTTATAATCAGATAAATCGGATTTGATGCTTTAAATCAAATGTAGATCAAATTATTTTTACCTGTAACTCCTCGTCCATTGTTTCCCTTTTTCTGTTGAGTCATCAGACAGACAGACACTGCAACCAATAGGAGAAGTATGAGTACAACGAGTACACCAACCATCACCTGCCAGTGGGCTGTTGAAGAAACACAGAAAACAGTTTAAGAAATAAAATACAACAAAACACATTTTCACCGAGACCAGAGAGCCAGGACAAACTAATGGATCAGTCTGGCGTTCACTTACTGATGAACCAGGGCACATCACTGGAGGGAGTCACAGTTTGATTGAAGTTTGTGATATTGGTGGTGGGTTTGAGTGACATTGACGTCTTACCCGCAGTAGGAACCGTGGTGGGGATTGTTGTTGGGTGAATACACAGTGTATTATTGGCCTTGAACACCCATTTGGATATATGCGTTTCATTTAATGTGCAGTTGATGAAGATGAAGCCTGTGGAAAGATTGAATCTCTGAGTCTTTCTGCTCTTCACTGGCTGCTTCAACATGAACTCTTCTCATTGTTACTCACCACAGGTGGATATTTGGTCAGTGTAGGAGCTGTGACTGATGTAATTACTGACGGAGCACTTCAATAGACCATGCACATGCTGTTTCAAGGTGATGGTCTTGTTCAGATGGTTTCCAGACAGGAGTTCATTCTCTGTCAGTGGACTTCCATTCAGAGTCCAGCTGTACTGAGGATCGTCTCCTCGCTGAGAGGAGCACGACACCTTCATCTCTCCCAGGAACAGACACACAGTGGAGAAATTGACAGAAGACACTGGAGCTGCAGGACAAAACACTTTGTCACTTAAACTCTGCAAAAGATTCAGATATGTATGTGGTCTGTGCAGAAGAAAAGATGTTTACCTTGAACATGTATGTTCACAGTCTGTGTCCTATTTAGACGTCCGTCATAATATAGTGAAACCTTATATTCACCACTGTCAGTCCTGCTCAGGTTATTGATTCTTAATGTTCCATTATCAGGAGTAAAGAAGAATTTATTTTCAATGTAGTAACGTATGGATCCCTGTTTAATTTCTAATAATGTTTGTGTGCTGTTTTTTAATAGAACCGTTCCTTTGACGTTGACTTTGTCCATCAGCTGGAGAACCAGAGTTCCTCCCAAAGGTCCGTAACACTGAGTTTCATTCTGTCTGCCATCACAGAAGTTTTCCATGCCTAGAATGTCAAAGCAACAAGAAACAGAACAATCCTCATCAGTAACTACTGGAAGTACAGTGGTGGTCATAAAAATTTACAGCAGATCACAGTTCCAGTGTGTGTCAGATTCAAGCTGATCTTGAACCATTGTCCGTCTTAGATATTTACAATCCAGTCCTTTCTGTTTTTCCTCAAGTGCATCTTTTTTCCTGCTGTGTGTTTATATGAAGGGACTATCTGGCTTTCTGACTATGATCTGACAGTTTACCTCAGTAACCCTATAAATCAAACGGTTTAAGCCAGAAAACGTTTTCTAAAGACCAGACATTGACAGAAGAAGTATCAAAGAAATGCTCACCGTGGGAAACTCTGAGGAGAATCAGGAAAAGTCCAAGCACAGCTTCCATTTCACCCTTCACTGACTTAACTCTGCAGCTTTCCCAGAAAACCACTTTAAAGCAAACATGCAGTTGATCAGAACAGTCACTGAACCTCAGATGAGAATGTCTGACAACTTTGTTCAGGTCGTGTTATTATGTATTCATCTTTTTTCTGAGCATAGAGGATATGAGGAAGTAGAGGCCTTTTCACTTCCCCTTTGGTCTATATAAAGAAGAGACACCTCCTCTCTTCGTGGTGAAAGAGAATGTAAGACACAGATTTTCTTAATTTGTCCACTGCCGCTGACTTACAAGAACGGTACAGAAATGATCGTATCTGCTTCCTGCAAATCAACCTGCAATGTCTCAGTGCATGAATGTTGGGTCATTGTAGATCTTAGAGGGTGATTTATTTATTTTTTAAGTGGGGATTAAACTCCATAAATCATATTCACACCTGGAAGCGTCGTCTGTCCAAGTGTGCAACAATGGATATATTTAAAATAACTCAAGTAGTTCTTGTTAAACATGAGACCACTGGTTTTTGATTTTTTTCCAGACTTTTTATATCATATAAAAATTGTGTGTTACTGTATTAATTAGTGTATTACTATATTCTTTAAACTGGGGTGAGTACCAAGTAATAACATGCATATGATATTTTAATAACAGTACTATGGTATTTAAATAACACCCAGGTTCATATGTTCATGTTAATGTTTATTTAAAAACATTTAATTTTGAGAGGAGAAATCAAACAGGACAAAATATACCAACAAATGTGTGTTGTCTGATCAACCAAAAAATTGTATGACCGCTGCAGTACCTATCCTGACCAGTTGGGCCAATAAAGGTGTTTAGGACATTAATTCAACGAATCAAAAGTCAGGTATTGGAGAGGGTAATTGTGATTATATCTGGTTGTAAATCATTTCAATTGGTTCTAACAAATTGGCAGGCTCACAAGGTTTTGAAGCACTACACCCAAGGAAGCTCCAGAGTGACACCTGTCTTTTTATATCCACCTGACTCTATTATAGTCCAAATTAATGGGTAAATGTTTTGTTTTGTTGGTCACATGATAAATCAATAAAACCTATGAATCCCTGCTCTGCCAAGGTGTGAAGTGTCCCATACAGAAATCTTCTTTTTATATTCTACAAAAACATGAACTGTTATAAAACAGAGCCATAATTTATCCACCAAAAAGAACAGTTCTGACAATCAACTAAATGTTAAACATTGTTCGCAAAAGCCAGGGTGAAACCCGATGATTTAAAAAAGAATAGATATAAACATAAATTCAATGTGGTTGTTGTCTCGGCTCTCTCTTCGCCACGTTGTCATTTGTATGTTCGTCTTGGATTGGTTTCGCTGTTTTCCTCATTTTTCCTCTGAAAAAGACTTGGTCGTTCTCCTCCTCGTCTTCTGTCTTCATTTTCAACTGCCTCCTCTGTAATGTGTGGGTTGCTGGGTAGGTCAACTCCTGATCATCAGCTCCAGCTACAGAGAAGGTCAAGACACAATGTGTCATTATTCACAGTCAAATGTAATGTATGTTTGGTTGATGGACTTGTTGAGCTTGATTTAACAGGCCGAGCGATAAAGAAAAGATTTCTAGCATTTTATCTCACCTTCTATTTACCATCAATTACAAAGGAACTTCATTTCAGTTCAGTGTTCATAGAACAGTGGCTACGTTCACACTGCAGGTCTGGTTGCTTAGTTCCAGTTTTTTGCTGAGGTCTAATTTTTTTTTTTTTTAATGGTGTTCAGGGTCGCAGCTCCCTATATGAAGAACACACTGTTTGTCGGGCTCCACGTTTGTGGAGTGGGGCCCATATGCAAATTACTTTATAGACGCAACTCACCACTGAGCACATTTCTATGGACTTATTGCCATCTATTGGGGAAACTATGTGTTAACAGCCATAGCTGTGAACAGAGAGAGTGGACAGAATAGAAATGTGTTTGGCCGATACATTTGTTGACAGGAGAAATATGCATTTGACCAATGTGCAGGTTTCCCTACGACTGTGGATAATAACAACAACAACAGCAATAATAATGATAATGATAATGATAATTATAATGATAATGATAATGATGACAATGAGAATAGTGTAAGACAGTCATAGTAGGAGTTGCAGTATTTTGTCATTTGTATTACTATTGTTTGCATTGGTTGCTTTTTATTAAACCTTTTTATTTGCATGTTTTTGAGGATTTTTTTTTTCAAATATTTCATTCTGTATAGTAGCTATGACACAGTATGAACTCTGCTGTGATGGATTTTTGCAAGGGACATGAGGCGAGGAAGGGGTAAGGTTGGATTCTTTTAACATAATAAATTCCAAAGTGCAAGATCAATAAAGTTCAACCTTAACCTTTTTTATATAGGACGATTTGATGCCATAAATTAAGTGTAGAGCAGTAATTGTTACCTGTTACTTTGCCTTGATTATTGGCCTTTTTCAAATTGGTAATTACAACAAACACTCCAACCAGCATGAGAAGTACGCGTGCAATGAGAAGAGCAACCATCACCTGCCAGTAGGCTGTTGAAGAAACACAGATAACACTTCGTATAAAATAAAATAAAAAACCCACAGCAGATATTTTCATGGAGACTCTTCTCGTTGTTACTCACCACAGGTGGATATTTGGTCAGTGTAGGAGCTGTGACTGATGTAATTACTGACGGAGCACTTCAATAGACCATGCACATGCTGTTTCAAGGTGATGGTCTTGTTCAGATGGTTTCCAGACAGGAGTTCATTCTCTGTCAGTGGACTTCCATTCAGAGTCCAGCTGTACTGAGGATCGTCTCCTCGCTGAGAGGAGCACGACACCTTCATCTCTCCCAGGAACAGACACACAGTGGAGAAACTGACAGAAGACACTGGAGCTGCAGGACAAAACACTTTGTCACTTAAACTCTGCAAAAGAATCAGATATGTATGTGGTCTGTGCAGAAGAAAAGATGTT